CTCCTACAATCACTCAACCCTAAAATCCTGAACCCCTAAACCCCTAATACCCTAAACCCCTAAACCGCTAAATCCCTAAACCCCTATTTCCCAGACCCGGAAGTCCCTAACCCCTAAACCCTAACAACCGGTCCGGGGGCCTCGGAGTGCCGAAGCCCGTGTTTGCCGGGGTGTCGTAGAAGATGTCGCCCCCAAAGTAGTACTCCTCGCTGTTCAGGTTTTGGGGTTTAGGGTTTAAGGTTTAGGGTTTAGGGTTTAGGGTGTAAGGTTTTGGGCTTAGGGTTCAGGATTTAGGGGTTTACTGCTTCAGGCTTCAGGGTTCAGGGTTACGTTTTTTGGGGCTGGTTTAGGGTATCGCCTTGTGGTCCTGTTGATTATATAATTATAATATAAATCCTGCATTACCTTAAGGACCCTAAACTACGGGAATTATGGGTATATTCCTTATTATGGGGTAATGCAGGATTTAGATCATCAACCGTATTGCTCTTTAAAGCCCCTGGCGGCCTGGGGCTCACAGGCGGTCTGGGGCTCCGGGTTTAGGGTTTAGGGTTGAGGGTTGAGGGTTTAGGCTTAGGGTTTAGGGTTTCAAGGTGCATTGAGGTTGCCTGCCTGGGGCTTATGGTCGGTGATTTAAGTTCAGGGTGCTCAAGATTTGGAGTGCCCTAAACCCTAAACCCCTCAACCCCTCAACCCTAAACCTTGAACCCTGAACCCTAAACCCCTCAACCCTCAACCCTAAACCCTAAACCCCTAAACCCTAAACCCTAAACCCTCAACCCTCAACCCGTGGAGTACCCTAAACCCCTAAACCCCTGAACCCTAATGTGTAGTAAGTTACTTCTTTGAGACTGGGTCTCCGGGCTCCAGGTCTAGGGACATCACTTGACAACCGGTCAACGCCTGGGGAGGGTCCAGGGTTGACAGCCATGGAGTGTATTCATTTGGGGATTTGAAGGTTTAGGGTTTAGGTTTGGGGTTTAGGGTTTAGGGTTTTTGGGATTTCGGGTTTATGTTTTGGGGCCAAGGTTCCTATACAGTTCCTCTAATGCAACACTCTTCGGCGCCAGCGTTGGGCGCCAAAGGGATGGTGAGTACAAAGAAGCTGGCGACCCAAGCCAAAGCAAGACGACAAGGAAGCGCTGTCGTCGGCTGCCTTGCAGTTTTAGGATTTAGGGTTTAGGTTTAGGGCGTTTCGGATTTCGGGTTTAGGTTTCGGGGATTTAGGATTTAGGATTTAGCTTTAGGGCCTTTAGGATTTAGGTTTAGGCTTAGGGTTTAGGGTTTAGAGTTTCAAGGTGAATGCCCCCACGAAATACCCATGCTCACACACCCACGCACATACCCTGGGCACCTGATCTTGGGCCAGCGAGCTTGTGAAAAGCTGTTGCAAGGCGGTGCAAAGTGCACGTAGCTGACATTGTCATTCTCCAATTCCGTTCAGATTTTCTGCATCTTCAAGTGATTGGAGAAGTCGTTTCGGATTCTTCCACACCGCAAAAGCGTGGAATCGCTGGCCTCATGCAAAGCCTGTCGCTGCTGATGCATGAACGTCAAGTGCTGAATCTCAGCCACGACCACCAGGCTTTGAGGCCATGCCAGGGCATGGGCTCTGAAGCCGAATCCGTCGTCTTTCTCCTGGTTGGCAGTGAACCCTTTATGAGGGACCTTGGAACACACCTTCTTGTAGACGCAACTCACACGCCCTGATGCACCGAATCCTCGATCCCATCATTGTAAACCCAAAACCTGGCACACCATATGCTTCAGCCGCTCCGCATCCTGGGGTTTCGGGTTTAAGTTTAGGATTTAGAGTTTAGGGTTTAGGTTACAGCTCCCTTAAAGCACACACCCTCAACCTCAAAGTATGCGCAATCTCAAGGCCGAATCGCCTCCAGCAGGGCGTCCGTCTGCTTCAGGGGTCGGAAGGCTTAAGAACAGTATTCTTTCCAGTCTGTACTAGAGCTATACTATACACCCCAAAATCCGCGTCTATCCCTATAGTACACTGAATGAAGGAACTATACAGCTTTCAAAAGCTCGTTTTTGACCCCAGCGCGTCCTTGCCGTAGACCACGATGCCGGTGTGCCACACACCCTGTCAGGCAAAAGCCCCTATAGAGCCTAAACCCCTTGAATCCCTAGACCCTAGCTAAACGCTGAGCCCCGAAATCCGATTAAAACCCTTGTAGACCCTAAGCCCAAAAACCCTAACCCCCAAAACCCTTGTAGACCCGAGACCGCAATAGACCCTTCCAGCCCTCACCAGGGGTCAACGCACCAGAACTTTGGGTGTGGCGTAGAGTTAACGGTTTTAGTACTACGAATTATGGCTTTATGGGATTCTGAAAGGGTTGTCCAGCTTTCTTTCACGCTTCAGGTAAAGGGACCACCAGAATTAGAACCAGGTTTTGTTGTAGAGTGGTTTAGGGTTTAGAGTTAGTTTTAGGGTTTAGGGTTTAGGGCTTAGGGTGTAAATAGTATGATCGACTTTTCCAGGGACTGTAAGGGGACATTGGTAATCATTCTTCCAACCGCTGTTTTGGCTCCAAACCCCAAACCCTACTACACCCCGAAACATCAAAGCCTAGGCACATGTTCCTGTAATTGTGTCAGGGGCTTTCAGGGGGTGACTGTTACAAAGTACTAATGCTTCCTACCCTGTAACTGTACTGCAGAGTTTAGGGTTTAGGGCTTAGGTCATACATACATACATACATACATACATACATACATACATGCATACACACATAAACACCTACATACACAGACAGGCACAAACAGTAAAGGCGTGAATTATCAGCGGTTTAATCCAAATCCTACTCTTGAAGTCCTCAAGGCTCTCCCTACTTAGAGGCCCAGGGGGGCCTGAGCCAGTAGGAGAAAAGTACCTTAAAGGCCTTAGACTTGGGAAGGTTGTACTTAGATGCCCAGAAGACTTGGCCAGTAGGTTATACGTAGAGTGATAAGTAGCTTGAATCGGGGTGCCCCAATTATTTGTAACCCGACTTTTCACCGACTTACTAAGTCCCCTGGGCTTCCAAGCAAAAGCCCCCAACAAAACAACTAAACCCACGCCCAAGCTTCAAAACCTCACAACCCCAAGCCATAACAATCGAAACCGGAGACCCGAAATCCCAAACCCCGACCCTCCCCCAACCTTAACCCCAAGTAAATCCTAGGGGTTTGTGGTTTGGGGCGTAGGGTTTTAGGGAACCCCAACCCTCAACCTGAACCCTAAACCCTGAACCCGCAAGTTGAAGCCTGAACCCTAACTCCTAAACTCTAGCTCGGCCTCAATCTCCTGATTTAAGAGCAACGGGCCCAACATCGACGCGACTCCTGCAAACACCGGGTTCGGGGTCTTCGATGGCGGTTTAGGGTTTAGGGTTTCGGGTCTAAGGTTTTTTTATATGTACTGGACTTTCGAAACCCCTAAACCCCTAAATTGTAAACCCTAAACCTTAAACCCTAATGTCTGCGTTGGAGCAGACGGCAAGGCCCGCTGGCCTTGGATTTGGGAAGGTTGTATAAGGTCTAGGGTTTGGGTAGTCTCTAGCTTAGGGTCCCTTTTTAGGATCCTTCTCATAAGGGTCCCGCATTGCGTTTGGGTCCCTAAAAGCTACCAGTTTAGGGTTGCCATCTTCTTTCTCGGGCTCCATGAAATTCCCGGATGTGTATGAAGGGCTCAAAATTTAGGGTTGTGGGGTCTGGAGTTTACGGTGTAGGGTCCAGAGGGTTTGGGGATTTGAGCTGTGGATCTGGGCTTCTTTGGGGCTTGGGTTTACAGGTCAGAGTTTGCGGGTTTTGGGGGTTCGGACTGTTTAAGGTTTTGAAGCCGTCAGCTCCCGCTGGATAGAAAGAAGGCATTTTCGCCCTTATCGTCCCTATGCCAGCCGGTCTTCATTGAGGTGGGGGCTCTGAATAGACAAAGAAGCCATATCCCCGTATAGTCCCCATATCAGTATACTATGGTAGAGTCCACAACAGCATTCTTACCATGCAGGGCCCCCTATAATTGATGATGACGTCCAAAGGATTCGGGAGTTAGGTTGAATTTTGTTTCGGCCAGTGGTTCTTCCGTGTTGAGGCTTGAGGGTTGAGGGGTAGGGTCGAAGGACTGCGATGGAGGGCCTAGGGTTTAGGGTTCAAGGTTCAGGGGTTAAGGAGGATTTGGGTTTCTCGCCAACCTGAGGTGAGGCTGTCGGATGGGTCGCCGGATAGGCGTGGAAGTCTTATTGCTATATCCGGGCTTTATGGAACTCCATGTCCCTCAGCGAGGAGCCTACTACGAAGGACTGCGGTATGGTACTAAGCCACATGAGATTCTGACCTTCTGAGGCTTGTAACACAGCTTCCCTACAAGCCCTTTGGGCCCAAGACAAAACAGATGCTCAATCGCTCTTTGGGTTAATGTAAACTTGACTAAGCCTACGAGGGTTCGTACCCGCGGGGTGTACACTATACCAAAGGTGACAAACAATAAGCCTAAACCTCAAACGGCTGTTAATTCCAAACGACCACCCGGTTTCTAAGTTCAGGTATTTGGCGCCAAGAGCTTCGATCAAGAGTCCTAGACAGGCTATGCTGAAGTTCAAAGATGCTCTACAGGAGCTGCCAAATAAGAACAGGACATTGGGGCATGGAATAGCACAATTGTAGTCAGGAAACGTCAGAAATAGCATATGTACCGCGTATTCGGCTGCTATCTTGAGGGCATATAGGGTTTAGGGCTTCGGGGCTCGCTTTTAAGGCTCAGGGTTTGTGTGGCTTGGGGCTTTCGAGCTTAACGGTGTAGGGAGTTTGCAACTGCACGAACCCGAAAGAGACGCAAAAGGCCCCATCCATGAATCGTGAGATCCTTCATGAACACCCTGGAAAGCCCTTGGACAACTTAGCATAGGGAGAGTTTAGGGTTTAGGGTTGACAGTGCAAGCCTGCTTCTGCAAGTTGACCTCCGCGGACCCTTTGCTGCTCAGGTAGTGTGGGCGTTAGCAAAGATGACTACCTTGAAGGACTTCCAGAAATCGCAGCGAGGACCATGGATCTTCGCCTTCACGCTGTTGGATGGGAAGGCCTTGGAAGCGTGTGGGCACTTGTCCTTGGACGACCTCACCAAGGAGGACGGCGACACGACAGTATGGAAGCTGCTGTCCGCCAGGTTCCTCGAGAAGGAGGCCCACGACCAGAAGGGTGAAGCATTAGGTGAGGTTTTAGGGTTGGCTGCCCGAGATGGGGAGTCAATGAAGGAGTGCACGGCACGGGTCTTGGAGACCTTCGAGAAAAGCCGCAGGAAGGCCGCAGTGGACTTCACCAAGGAAGCCAAAGGCTGGATCGCCGGCCTGACGGAAGAGCAGAAGGCGATCGTGAAGGCGAAGATGCAAGGAAGTATAGACGTGGAGACTATTCATGCTGGAATTCATTCGTGTTTTCCCAGTTTTGCGTGCTTCGAGCTCGAAGGCGAGGAAGCCTACCTCCGTCTTGATCGCCGAGGACGACCACGGAGCGATTGTCGAGTAGGAGGACCAGCACTTCAAGGATGATGCCGCTTTTGACGATGTCGAGGCTTTCTTGGCCGACTATGGGACCACCATCGATGAGGACCCGTTGTCAGAGGCAGAAGCGGCAGAGGCCCTGGCGGTGTCTTGGAAGGAGAGGCGCCAGGAAATCAACAAGATGCAGAAGTCACGACAGTTCGGGGCAGTGGATGCCTCCAGGAAGGCCTTCCGCATCGAAGTTGAAGAGCTCAAACGTCGCACACGCTGCAGAAAATGCGGCCGAGTGGGCCATTGGGCCCGAGAATGCAGAAGCAAACCATCGTCCACGGCTTCATCGTCGAAGCACGGCGTGTCAGAGGGCTCTTCTGGCAACAAAGGCGCCACTGAGACCATGATTGCCGAAGTGGTTGAAGGTCACCGCGACGAGATCCACTTTGTCGGGGCCGCTGAAGAGGCTTTGATGTCTTCGCTGGTCTCATCGCCAGGTTTCGGTGTCATCGATTCTGGCTGCGGAAAGACGCTTATCGGTGCAGACACCTTGGCCGAGATGGAGCTCCTCCTGGGAAATCGACAGGTGATCAAAGTCCCAGAAAGGAACAGCTTCCGTTTTGGCAACGGCGAGGCCGAAGATTCAGTCATCATGGCTCAGATTCCTGTGGCCATCCAGGGCAAGACCGGCGTGATTCATGCCGCAGTGATCAGGGGCAAGGCCCCGCTGCTCCTCGGACGTCCCACGCTGGAAAAGCTCAAGATGACGGTGAACTTCGCTTCGGGTACGGTGACTATGCTGGGTGGTCCCGATGTCATTCAGCTCGATCGGAACAGTGCCGGCCAGATGCTGATTAACCTGGTGCAGTTTCCCAGCGAGGCTCGGCAACGAAGCAAGGGCTCTGTGGTCTCTGAGGCTCTGCCGGTGAGTCCCGAGACTCCCCAAGCCATAGACCCTGCTAAGACCTTAAGCCCTAAGACCTTTACTTCCGAGACCCTAAACCTAGAAAGCCAGGACGCGGAACCCAAGCAGTCTAAAATCCGAAAGCGTACCGTCAGGAAGCTGCTCACGCAGTGGAAACAACGCTCTGCTGAGCAACGCGCGGAAGGCCAGCCGGCCTTTGCAGTCGCCGAGTTGTTCTCGTCTCCTCGGTTTAAGACGGTTGCTGAAGGTTGGGGTTTTAGAGGGTTGAGCTTTGATAGGTCTGAAGGCTGGGATCTTGCAGATAGGGACATTCAGGTAGAGGTTGACAAACTGCTCGAGCGTGCTCAGCCGCAACTGCTAGTCGTGTGCGTTCCTTGTGGCCACTGGTGCGGGTGGCGCAAACCGAATGCGTCTTACCTCACCCCGTGCGAGCGAGCTAGGACAGTACAGCAAGCCCGCAGGCAAGCCGACTTTGCAGTTCAGCAATGTCACAAACAGTTGAAGCGTGGAGGCCAACTATTGTTTGAGCACTCGTGGTCGTCAGAGTTGTGGCGCTACCCTCCGGTAGCCGCATTGGTGCGCAAGTTCGGACGAGAGCGTGTTGACATGTATACTCATGACTCGCAACGCCCAGGAGACGATCGGCCCGCAAAACGGGCTACAGGCCTGATGCTCAGCCATCCGTCTCTCACGGAGGCCTGTCGAAAGGGTTGCAAGGACCATAATAGGTACACTTCGGAGTTTGAGAAGGTTTTCTTAGGTAGTGCTTTAGGGTACGACCATAGAAGTGTAGATTGCCTGTGCAGCTTCGCCCTAGAGGCGGAAGAGCGAGTGAGTCTTGAGGGCTTCGAGTGTCTGGCTGGCGAAGCGCCAGCAGGTAGCCACACTGCCGCAGAGCCTGCCCCTGCACAGGCGCCACCAGGTGTCCCTACCGCTAAAGACTCTCCCTTGGACCCAATAGGCCAAGCCCTCAGGAAGTTGCACAACAATCTCGGCCACCCATCCTTAAACACCCTAATCAGAGTCCTAAAGAACAGTGGCGCTTCAGAGGAGGCACTGCAGAGAGCCAAGGCGTTCTCATGCACCACGTGCGAGGCGAATCGTCGCCCGGCAGATGCCATTCCGGCACG